AGGTAATTCAATACTCTGTTCTAGTACTTGTACATGTTCTTATACATTTGGCAATACTTGTACTTGGGAATGGATCAATCATAATCAACATGCTAATACATTCCTGTACCACAGCATCTCAGCACAGTTGGTATATTTACGATCCTTGTTTGGTGGCAGGATGTGATTCCTGCTGTGCTACTCGATGACGAGAAAATGATTTTTATGTTTCCCGTTATGACGGAAACAACTTTTGAACCATGAAATGCCTTGGTACCATTGCTGTGTATCATCACCGAGAGTAGATGCATGGAAACATATTTCTGTTTTCTGTCACAGAACAAAAACACCCTTGTATCATAGCGTTGTGTATCGCCTTTGGGACTGCATGCAGATATTTTGATGTAAGTTGTGATGCACAGCACAAAGTATTGTGTATTTGGCGTATGTTACCGGCAAGTTGTGTGCAAAAAAGCTTTGTATTGGTTTGCCAGTAAGCATAGATTAAAGTAACCCGGTATCAATATTGATAATTAGACAGTGCTGTAAAGAGAGCGCTTGATTTTGTGTTTTTGTTCGTAGAATTGCTTTACTTCGCATATTTTCATTTGCTCCTTTGATGATAAATATCTTGATCAAGTAAATGACCGAATTATAAAAAGACACGTGTCTTCCAAAGCATGCACAGTCTTTGGTTTGCCCTCATACTGTCATTGAACGCTGCCATGCACGAGAACGAGGAGGTGGATAGCGGGTATGAACAGACATGCACTGCTGTGATGAGCGAGTATGATAATACTGAACCGCACAAAGAGACCGACGATGAAACGACAGGTATGTCTTCCGAATCGTTTCTGCAGTTAGATTGGAACCACATATTAGGTAGCAACTTTTCGGGTATTTCTAAGGAAGACCGGTTGGTTGTGATGCTACAAGGCAGTTATCGGTCCTATATCACAGCAAGAAACTATTTCATGTGCTGCTATGACGAACTGCAAAAGAACAGAGAGCTGTTCAAAAAGTTAATGAATATTCTAAAACAGAAGAAACAGGAAGACATTGTCTGTGAGAGCTTTGATCAGCAATTACAGGGACCGATGTCGGGACGATACCGTGTGTTTCTCGACGACAAAGAAAGCAACAAGAGAAAAAGGATTGATTCTCAAGAACAGTATGGTAGTGACGAACATCTAAGAGAAAAAA